AATAACTGACCCTTAAGCTGTCTCAGCTCGTGAAATGCAAGGCAATATATCTCATTGCAATTATCAACATCGTGCAAACGAAACTCACCAATTAAATCCACAGATTATGGTTCTCTTCCTCAGCTTTGGTGTTCTAACCATGTCCAGGATTCCGTAGGTCTTCTTGCTCTCACTCCTGTTTCTTTCTTCTTCCTTCTTAAATTCTTGTATGACATGTTTGAGTTGGGTGGATTCAACAGTGACACGATTCCTCTTGGCATACTTCATGAGCAGCTCGTGAGCCTCGTCAAGGCGATCTTTGGCAATTAACCACCGGGGAGACTCTGGGATCATCCTCCGAACAAAATTGACGAAACAGATTTAATAACTAGATTATCAGCTCGAGATTTCTATCGCGTGATTGTAGATGAGTGTGTGGCCCGAATCAATTACTGTATCACGCATAGAAATCGAGATTAAGTCCAAAAAAGTTTTTTTTTGTTTTGCAGCCGCACCTTTTTGGGCTTCTCTGTCCATTTTCTATCTATCACAGAACAGATGGCGATTAGCAAAGCTAATCAGATTGGATTATAGCATTAACGGTCATGGAACGTTTGTAGATTTCATCTGACTGAAGTGGAGGTAACTTGAACGTTCAAACTAATGACCCTTAACATCAACATGTAACTGATTGCGAAGACTAGACCAAAGAGCGAATGTAGGAATGACGCTTTTGCAATCGGGATGACTAATTCCACTACTGTTATAATTCGAATTGGTAAAAAACGAAAGTCAGTCCAAAATCTTCAGCAAACACTAAGTCAGGTACATCGCGAAGAACATTAAAATTTTTCTTACCAGTAACAGAGCAGTAATGGTGCTGCAGGCAGAGAGACAATCAGCATTAGATGTCTCCAGTCACGAATTAAGTAACCAAGCAGAGAAAGCGTAGAAAAACCAATGCTAACGAAAATATTATTCACCATTCCTGCTGCGGTGCGATTGTTTATGTGGATGATCTCCATACAGTAGACAAACCGAACGAGAAGACAGCCTGCTGTGGCCGCTCCAGCTCCAAACCGAAACAAGGCGAACAAGGAAAGACAGTCGGAGACAGCAGATACTGTTCCACATGCAGCCTGAAGGACAACTTCCTGGTTAGACTTAATTGGAACGAGCTAAGACTAAATTTCATTTGACTACTCGCTAAGTTAATGAGTCCAGGCAAGAAGTGGTGACCCAAAGGTTACCGTGCTGGGTTGTAGGCCGAGAGGCCCGGGTTCGAGTGTTGCGTCTTGCTCTTGGGTAAGACATTTCATAGTCACAGTTCCTCTCTCCATCCGGAAGCATGAAGGGGTACCAGTAAACCGAGGGTCTTTTGGGGTTAACCGTTAGCTGTAAAACTGCCAAAACATTTATCCCTTAGGCGTAAAATTTGCCAAATTTGAACGGTTAGTCGTAAACTAAAAATTAACCGTAAACCTCTGTTCTCGTGACCACAGTGGAAAGATATTTACCGTGAGCGTAAATTGGCCAAAACATTTTAACCGTTAACCGAAAAAGCCATCACCACATTGACACCCTCCAAACTGTCAGGCAAGCCCGACAGACTGCTGGGGTGGGGTGGGGTAACCTGTGACAGAGGAGCATCTCATCCATGGGGTGGGTAACAATACTCTTCTTAATCACGCCATGCTGCGGAAACCGGGATAAGCTCCGCATTAATGGCACGTGGCTTGAAGAAGACTTAACCGTTAAGTTATATGCGTTCCACTTCGGTAAAATCTCACTTTACTCACCATGAGAAAAATACTGAGGAAGACGCTGATTTTACGGCCAAAGTGGTCGGACAGGCTACTAAAGGCAACAGAACCCACCAACAGACCTGCCATGTAAACTGACTGTGTCATGGCCTTGAGAGGACGTCTGTCACATATCAGGTTCCACTGTCACAAGATGAATCAGGAAAAAAAGAGCGAAAAAAATACAGAACCCATTAACCACTCGAATGAGAAACGCTTCAGTCTAAGAGGAGTTTATTTGAGCATCCCTGTAATAATCCAAAATGACGCTAGTAAAAAAAATTAAAACCCATGAAGCAACCACAGACAGACCATAGTATGTGTTTGTGGTTAATAATTGTTTACATGGCACTAACATAATCTCTGACGGTTATTGATGAAGCTCTGAAAATTGCATATCTATATTTATATTACATCTCGGTCTGAATATCTCAGTAAGGTTAAATGAAATGTTACTCGACGCGTTTGTGATATTTTTTAGCCCTCATAGGCCGTTTACGAAATTACTTTTTGGCCAGAGGTATCATTTCAGCATCGATTTTCTCGGAAAATGTCGAAGGGATGAAACTCAAATTTGCCGAAGAGATGGAGTAAGATCTCATCGATAAACAAACGTTGCCAGTTTGGAGAGATTTTTAGTAGTTTGGCGTTAATTCCAGTTTGAAGTGGAGGCGGTCACGGCTGGTGGGCAACAAATTGCGAGCATTGTCTCCCTTTCCTCTCTAACGGCCTCAGGCCAAAAGTAATTTCGTAAAAAGACGCTTCAAACGGCTAATGAGGGCGAAAAAATGCGACAGATGAGTTGATTAACATTTTGTTTAACTTTATTGAGATATTCAGACTGAGATGTGATTTAGATATGTAATTTTCAGAGCTTTATTCATAACCCTCAGCGATTTTGTTCATCTCATGTCAACAATATTGTCAACCACGAACACATAGAGTCGTCTGCCTGTGAAGCAATAAGTTAGGACTCGACAATATTCAAATGCAGATAACATCTTAATTACCGAGGGACGGAAAGATCAACGTCTAGAAATTGTAGATTTTTCTCCTAATCGTTTCCGCAGGATAGCACCGCACGTTATCACGGAATAAAGGTTCCTTTCTCGGTTCTTTGTTTTGCTACTAATTTAAAAATTCATGCAAATTACGTAATGGGCTGTTCAATTGGTATTGATGAATAACAAATCCTTGCAATGCAAACTTTAAAGAGGACGTGTCAATAAACAGAGACCTCAATGGGTCCATGGGAGTCCGAAAAGTGATAAGGACTGAAGAAAGTGATGAAATTGTCTAGCAGCCAGCCTCTAGGAAAATTTGAAAAAGTAAAATTTACTTTTTTAGGTCATTGCTTATTATTCACACAAGATTTTCTATTTATGGAGGAACAATCACTTTTTCTAAATAATTATTACCTCTGTCACAGCACTCGTCAGCCCTGCCTGAAACTCATATTTTTCGCAGTTGTTGCAGCATTCCGAACATGTATTGTTGCTCGGCGACGAATACGAAACACAGGAATATTTCGGAGTTGCAGCGTAAAAGACTTGTACAAGTTGCTGGAGGCCGATTGGCACAGACATGATGCACATGAAAGCATATAGCGCTAAGCTGTAACGGCCAAATCCGCCAACCATGTCTAAAATATCGTCAAACTCGCATGATTTCTTTGATTTTGATCTTTCCATCTTTGAATTCACATTCGGACCAGACATAATGTCACCGAACGCTTTTGGACGACAAGCAGAAACTCTCGAATCTTTCACAACTTGGAAAGCAGTTTAGACAAGATCCAGTTTGTTTTCGTGTAAACAACGTCAAACCGCTTATAAATATGCATTGTACGTGAGATATGCAGATGAAAGATGACCTCACCTTTGACAGAATATTCAGTTACAAGAAAAAAACTTAAGTTAAATCTTAAGTTTTTGTGACTCAGCCAAAGGAAGTGACATATGAGTGACAGCTTATAACCACTCCTTTGCATTGCGTGGTATACGAAAAAATAATTTCCCAAACGTTCCTAGCCCGAAAGATTGTCTAAGATAAAAGAGAAGCGAGACTTTGCTATTAAATTTCAATAAATTCTTCATATTCTGAATATATCTGGGAATTCATGCGCCCTTTCTACCTGGGGTGAGTATTTCCCGCATTTAGTGCTCAGTGACAGACCCTCGATAAACGTCGGGAAAAAAATCAAAGAAAGAAATAAATGAATAAATGAACGAAAGAATCAACACGAATCAAGCCAAAGAACCGAACGAAGACGCGCACGGACTGACGAAAGAACGACGGGGTATATTATTATTTATTTTCCATATGGATTCATTCAGACGGATCTTTCAAGCATGAACAAGTTCTTGCGCCTGGTCATGTTTGGTGACTGTTTTTTTACTTATCGCGTGATGGCTCTTTGGCTGGCAGAGACACGTTGTCGAAAACGTGAAAGAGCTGTATCACGCTTC